CTCCATTTCTTCCCCATCTATTTTGCCAGGAATTGAGAGGGCTGGATGCCATGATTTTGGTTTTCTTAATGTTGAGTTTCAAGCCTACTTTTGCACTCTCCTTCTTCACCCGCATCAAGAGGCTCTTTAGTTCCTCTTCACTTTCTGCCATTAGAGTGGTATCATCTGCATATCTTAGGTTGTTGATATTTCTCCCGGCAATCTTAATTCCAACTTTTGATTCATCTAGCCCTGCCTTTCTCATGATTTGCTCTGCATATAAGTTAAATAGGCAGGGTGACAGTATACAGCCTTGCCGGACTCCTTTTCCAATTTTGAACCAATCAGTGGTTCCGTGTCCAGTTCTCACTGTTGCTTCTTGACCCGCATATAAGTTTCTCAAGAGTACAATAAGATGGTCGGTATTCCCATCTCTTAAGAACTTGCCACAATTTGTTGGATCCACACAATGAAGGCTTAGCTAGTCAATGAAAGCAGAAGTAGATGTTTTTCTGGACTCCCTAGCTTTCTCCATGATCCAGTCCTGATCGCGCTTTCCCTGTGTACATCTTAAGAGGTTGCCTCCTAAAAGTGCACGCCCGCTTTCGCGGTGGCCCCTCAAGCAAACCCAGATGTTTTTATTCAAGAATAGTTTTGTTTCTCCTGCCCTTCTTTTTCTTTAAGGAGATCGTACGTATGTAGGTTTGTATTTGGGCTTGGTGTTTCTAAACTATATTTCTTAGAGATACCTATGTATTAATATAAGTGCAATATCAAATATCTATTTGAAATATTGTGTATTTTTATTACGAAACGATCAATATAAAAATAAATGTAGTTTATTTTGAAAAATTATATAACCTATCGTTCCCTTATAGGTTTATCATTTAAAGGATGGATAAAAGGGGTGAGACGTGAGAAGTTGCAACTAATGGCATTTATTAATTTGTTCGCCGTCCATCTAACTTTGTAGGCCTTCGTCTATTACTAAGGTGTTAATACCGTTAATAAAGATAGAGAATACGGTCATTTTAAAATGCCATTAAAAAGGTTTATTTCTTTGGGTGGCCGCAACACCCATTTTTGACCCCATGAGGGCACAGTTTTCTGTCCCATAGCTTTGGCTTGGAGTCCATCCTAGGCCTTTTTAATGGCCTCCATCCTATAGCTAAGGCAGGGGTAAGGCAACCTTGGCTCTTTGATGACTGGTGGACTTCAACTCCTAGAATTCCTGAGCCAGCCCTGCTAAGGGACGGAAAACTGGTCAAATCAGATACTGCGGCCAGAAAAATAAATAAACCTCTTTAAGATTATTATTCTTGATTATTAACACTTATTAATATGAATAAGCCACGATAGGCCTTAACTCGGTTTAAGATTGGAACCAGGATTTCTTCTGCGCCCGTGTCGCACCGACCGGGCCCCCCGTCGCCACGTTAATATCAATAATAAGGCGTTAAGAATAAAAATAGAGAAGAATAAGCTTCAAATGCTATTCAAAAGTATTTATTTCTTTGGGCGGTAGCAGTACCCGTTTTTGACCACAGGAGGGCAGTGTTTCCCGTCCCATAGCCTTACCAGGGAGGCCGTCGTAGGCCACTTGCCCAGGATCGGGACACCGAGAAGCTAAGCCCCAAAGCGCAGAGCGTCAGCCAAAGTATCGCCACTCTATGCTCCTCCGAAAGGGACGGGCCGCTTCCCTCGACCTTCTGCGCGTGTCCGCCGGCTGGTTCTTGACGAGTAATCTGCGAGAGGCCCTCTCTGGACGGTGGGCTTCCTGTCCGTCGGTATCGGCCGTCCCCCAGGTGCTGCGGTAAAAGGACCTTTCCATCATGCCCGACTTCCGTCGCTTCGTTCTTAATCTTTCCCCCTACTTCCTTTCGGGTAGACCTCCTCAGCATGTCCGACTTCCTGTCCGCGCAAATTCGCCGTCCTCCAGGGTCGTTGAATTGCGACCTTTCCAATATGGCCGACTTCCGGTCCGTCCTTCTTAATCGTCCTTCCACTTCCTTTTTTTCGGGGACCTTCTGGGCAGGGCGGACTCCACGTCCGATCAACTAGGTAAGCCTTGAAAACCCCATTCAAAAGGCTTATTTCCCTTGGCGGCCGCAATACCCGTCCCATAGCATTTACCAGCGTAGGCCTTTTCCACGGCCTCAATGCCGCTATCGCTAAGGGAGGGAAAACAGTGCCATCCCGTGGCCAAGCCGGGTATAGCAGCCACCAAAAGAAATAAACCTTTGAAAATGGCAAAAGAGCCTCCCGTCGCCCTATTAATATTAATAAGAGGCTACTAATAAAGACGGGGGGAAAATAAATAGCCTTAAAATCCCATTTAAAAGCTTTATTTTTTTCGGCGACCGCAGTACCCGTTTTTGACCACAGGAGGGCACACTTTTCCGTCCCGTAGCATGACCATCGACGACGACGACGACGTTCCCAGTACGGCCGAGTTCCTGTCCATCCGCCGAGGCCGTCCCCAACTTCCTGTCCGTTCCCTGCTTTTTCCCGTGCTCTTTTCTGCACTACGGTGACGGAGCGCACGTCTACCGGCGAGGCCTCAGGAAGGAAAAAAGGAAGCCTGCTACTGCCTCAGGTGAGCCGAGCCATCCCCGCATTTCCTGATTCCAGAAAGATACCGGCTTTCTCTGTTACCTAGTTAGCGGGGAATCCCCACCTTCCCCCTCCCCCGCCTCCTCCCCGGCCACTCGTTTGGTCCTCTCCCCTAAGATGTCCGCCGGGCCGTTCCTGGCCTTTCGCCGCCGGTGTCTGTAAAAATGCGACCGAGAACCGGTGGCGGCGGCGGCGCCGGAGGTTGCGAGACCTGGTCTCTTTGCGCTCTTTCCCTTTCAGCTATAGGGGCTCAATTGGGAACGTAGAGACGAAGTTAGCTTGTTTTAACAACACACTTCGGGGTGGTTTACGCGAGCTCAGCCGCGGCTTCTTTTTAGCTCCTTTTTAGAGGCGGGGCCGGCGGGACACGCTCCATGCTTTTGGCGTCCGGATCGGGAAGGGGGTTCCGACCCGTCTCGGGGGTCTCCTCGAAGGCTGCCAAGCAAGGCAGCCGTTGAATGGTGTTTTCCCAGCGCCCGAGTCCCGGATGTAGAAGAACCAGTCGTATCGCGCTTCCCTGTGTTACACCTTAAGAGTTTGCTCCTAAAAGTGCACCCCGCTCGCCCCCTTCAAGCAAATCCAGGTGTTTTTATTCAAGAATAGTTTTGTTTGTCCTGCCCTGCTATTTCTTTAAGGAGATCGTACGTATGTAGGTTTGTATTTAGGTTTGATGTTTCTAAACTATATTTCTTAGAGATCCCTCTGTATTAATATAGACTCAATATCAAATCTCTATTTGAAATTGTGTGCATTTTTATTAAGAAACGATCAATGTAAAAATAAATGCAGTTTATTTTAAAAATGTGTATAACCTATCGTTCCCTTCTAGGTTTATCATTTAAAGGATGGATAAAAGGGATGAGACGTGAGAAGTCGCAACTAATGGCTTTTATTATTTTGGTCGCCGTCCATCTAACTTTGTAGACCTTCGTCCAAAACAAGTCAGGGTTAGGAAGGGTAGGAGATTTCTTCCTTTCCTCTCCAGGTTGCCGTAAACAGCCCACCCCCCGCCCAGAGGTAAGAGAAAGGTAAAGCAGGTCTCTCTGGGGGAAGCAGGAGACCCGGGTCTTTGCAGAGTCCGGCTTGCAATTTTGCTAACTTCCCCCAGTCACAACTGCATCGACTGATGTAGCGGCCAGGAGGAAGGGTGGGGACGCCTGCCAGATGAAAGCTTCAGCCTTTTTGGAAAAGGCAGTGGAGAAAGGAGGTCACGCTCCCTGGATTTCCAGCCTAGAGCCTCCGCCGGATGGGTGACCCCCCACCCCTTGCTGTGGCTGTTAAGAAGGAACAGGGGGGAAACAGGTAAGTTGTCCTTGAGGATTCCCCCCCCCCCTTTTTTGCCACTTTCAGTGAGGTTAAGGCTTTTCCTTTTAAAGAGACACGGATGGAAATGGAGTAAGGTTGGGAGCCCAGTAAAAACCCCAAGAGGAAGCGGGAAACAGGGTGGGAGGTTGCGATGGCCACCGCTCCTCTCAATATTGCAGTTTTTGGTGGGAAATAGCGGGAGGGACCTCTCCAAGGGCCTTCCCGCTAGCAGAGCTTGGCAGTCTACCGGAAAGGGCCTTTTCTGGCACACCAGGCAGGCCGTGCGACAGCATCTTTGGGTGATCCTCACGGGCCCCGCTTTCCGGGTATTTAGGGACAAGGTAAGAACGCATCTCTTTGGCCGAGCTTTTGATTTCTGAGCAATCCTCTGGTGTAATTTTAAGAGCGATTTCAATTGCGTTAATGTGGTTTGTAGATTACAGCGTTAGCGTTTTATGAAGCACTTTGATGGCAGAAGAAACAAAAATCGCCAACAAACTCGGAGTGCTTGGGTATTGTTAGGAGGGCACTGACTTTTCTAGGCTACCTTATCTATGTTTCCTAGTAAAATACATGGGAAAATCCCATTGGAGGAAAATTCCACTTAGGGTTAGGGTTACGTCACCGTGAACTCCTAGAGCAGAATGGAAATCGCCAACAAACTCGGAGTGCTTGGGTATGGTTAGGAGGGCACTGACTTTTCTAGGCTGCCCTATCTATGTTTCCTGGTAAAATAAATGGAAAAATCCCATTGGAGGAAAATTCCACTTAGGGTTAGGGTTACGTCACCTGAATCCTAGAGCAAAATGGACATCGCCAACAAACTCAGAGTGCTTGGGTATGGTTAGGAGGGCACTGACTTTTCTAGGCTGCCCTTGTATGTTTCCTGGTAAAATACATGGGAAAATCCCATTGGAGGAAAATTCCACTTAGGGTTAGGGTTACGTCACCGTGAACTCCTAGAGCAAAATGGACATCGCCAACAAACTCGGAGTGCTGGGTATGGTTAGGAGTGCACTGACTTTTCTAGGCTGCCCTATGTATGTTTCCTGGTAAAATACATGGGAAAATCCCATTGGAGGAAAATTCCACTTAGGGTTAGGGTTACGTCACCGTGAACTCCTAGAGCAAAATGGACATCGCAACAAACTCGGGGAGTGCTTGGGTATGGTTAGGAGGGCACTGACTTTTCTAGGCTGCCCTATCTATGTTTCCTGGTAAAATACATGGGAAAATCCCATTGGAGGAAAATTCCACTTAGGGTTAGGGTTACGTCACCATGAACTCCTAGAGCAAAATGGACATCGCCAACAAACTCGGAGTGCTTGGGTATGGTTAGGAGGGCACTGACTTTTCTAGGCTGCCCTATCTATGTTTCCTGGTAAAATACATGGGAAAATCCCATTGGAGGAAAATTCCACTTAGGGTTAGGGTTACGTCACCGTGAACTCCTAGAGCAAAATGGACATCGCCAACAAACTAGGAGTGCTTGCGTATGGTTAAGAGGGCACTGACTTTTCTAGGCTGCCCTATGTATGTTTCCTGGTAAAATACATGGGAAAATCCCATTGGAGGAAAATTCTGTCAGAATACAGCTGGAAGGGACCTTGGAGGTCTTCTAGTCCAGCCGCCTGCTGAAGCAGGAGACCACACGTGGAATTTTCCTCCAATGGGCCCTATTAATAAGGTGTTAATACCGTTAATAAAGATAGAGAGTACCGTCATTTTAAAATGCCATTAAAAAGGTTTATTTCTTTTGTTGTTGTTGTTAATTGCGAAGTCGTGTCTGACCCATCGCGACCGCGTGGACCATGTTCCTCCAGGTCTTCCTGTCCTCTACCCTTCTTCTGGAGTCCATTTAAGTTCACACCTACTGCTTCAGTGACTCCATCCAACCACCTCATTCTCTGTCGTCCCCTTCTTCTATTGCCCTCAATCTTTCCCAGCATTAGGCGCTTCTCCAGTGAGTCCTTCCTTCTCATTAGGTGGCCAAAGTATTTGAGTTTCAACTTCAGGATCTGGCCTTCTAAAGAGCAGTCGGGGTTGATCTCTTCTAGGACTGACCGGTTTGAACGCCTTGCAGTCCAAGGGACTCGCAAGAGTCTTCTCCAACACCATAGTTCGAAGGCCTCAATTCTTTGGCGCTCAGCCTTTCTTATGGTCCAACTTTCACGGCCATACATTGCAACTGGGCAGACCATGGCCTGGACTATACGCACTTTTCTTGGCAGGGTGATGTCTCTGCTTTTTAGTACGCTGTCTAGATTTGCCATAGCTTTCCTTCCCAGGAGCAAGCGTCTTTTAATTTCTTGGCTGCAGTCCCCATCTGAGGTGATCTTGGAGCCCAGAAAAATAAAATCTGTCACCACCTCCATTTCTTCCCCATCTATTTGCCAGGAATTGAGTGGGCCGGATGCCATGATTTTGGTTTTCTTAATGTTGAGTTTCAAGCCAACGTTTGCACTCTCCTTCTTCACCCGCATCAAGAGGCTCCTTAGTTCCTCTTCACTTTCTGCCCTTAGAGTGGTATCATCTGCATATCTTAGGTTGTTGATATTTCTCCCGGCAATCTTAATTCCAACTTTTGTTTCATCTAGCCCTGCCTTTCTCATGATGTGCTCTGCATATAAGTTAAATAGGCAGGGCGACAGTATACAGCCTTGCCGGACTCCTTTTCCAATTTTGAACCCATCCGTGGTTCCGTGTCCAGTTCTCACTGTTGCTTCTTGACCCGCATATAGGTTTCTCAAGAGACAAATAAGATGGTCTGGTATTCCCATCTCTTTAAGAACTTGCCACAATTTGTTGTGATCCACACAATGAAAGGCTTTAGCATAGTCAATGAAGCAGAAGTAGATGTTTTTCTGGAACTCCCTAGCTTTCTCCATGATCCAGTCGTATCGCGCTTCCCTGTGTTACACCTTAAGAGGTTGCTCCTAAAAGTGCACCCCGCTCGCCCCCTTCAAGCAAACCCAGATGTTTTTATTCAAGAATAGTTTTGTTTGTCCTGCCCTTCTTTTTCTTTAAGGAGATCGTACGTATGTAGGTTTGTATTTGGGCTTGGTGTTTCTAAACTATATTTCTTAGAGATACCTATGTATTAATATAAGCGCAATATCAAATATCTATTTGAAATATTGTGTATTTTTATTACGAAACGATCAATATAAAAATAAATGTAGTTTATTTTGAAAAAGTATATAACCTATCATTCCCTTATAGGTTTATCATTTAAAGGATGGATAAAAGGGATGAGACGTGAGAAGTTGCAACTAATGGCATTTATTAATTTGTTCGCCGTCCATCTAACTTGGTAGGCCTTCGTCTATTACTAAGGTGTTAATACCGTTAATAAAGATAGAGAATACGGTCATTTTAAAATGCCATTAAAAAGGTTTATTTCTTTGGGTGGCCGCAACACCCATTTTTGACCCCAGGAGGGCACAGTTTTCTGTCCCATAGCTTTGGCTTGGAGTCCATCCTAGGCCTTTTTAATGGCCTCCATCCTATAGCTAAGGCAGGGGTAAGGCAACCTTGGCTCTTTGATGACTGGTGGACTTCAACTCCCAGAATTCCTGAGCCAGCCCTGCTAAGGGACGGAAAACTGGTCAAATCAGATACTGCGGCCAGAAAAATAAATAAACCTCTTTAAGATGATTATTCTTGATTATTAAAACCTTCTTAATATGAATAAGCCACAATAGGCCTTAACTCGGTTTAAGATTGGAACCAGGATTTCTTCTGCGCCCGTGTGGCACCGACCGGGCCCCCCCGTCGCCACGTTAATATTAATCATAAGGCGTTAAGAATAAAAATAGAGAAGAGTAAGCTTCAAATGCTATTCAAAAGTATTTATTTCTTTGGGCGGCAGCAGTACCCGTTTTTGACCACAGGAGGGCAGTGTTTCCCGTCCCATAGCCTTACCAGGGAGGCCGTCGTAGGCCACTTGCCCAGGATCGGGACACCGAGAAGCTAAGCCCCAAAGCGCAGAGCGTCAGCCAAAGGGTCGCCACTCTATGCTCCTCCGAAAGGGACGGGCCGCTTCCCTCGACCTTCTGCGCGTGTCCGCCGGCTGGTTCTTGACGAGTAATCTGCGAGAGGCCCTCTCTGGACGGCGGGCTTCCTGTCCGTCGGTATCGGCCGTCCCCCAGGTGCTGCGGTAAAAGGACCTTTCCATCATGTCCGACTTCCGTCGCTTCGTTCTTAATCTTTCCCCCTACTTCCTTTCGGGTAGACCTCCTCAGCATGTCCGACTTCCTGTCCGCGCAAATTCGCCGTCCTCCAGGGTCGTTGAATTGCGACCTTCCCAATATGGCCGACTTCCGGTCCGTCCTTCTTAATCGTCCTTCCACTTCCTTTTTTTCGGGGACCTTCTGGGCAGGGCGGACTCCACGTCCGATCAACGAGGTAAGCCTTGAAAACCCCATTCAAAAGGCTTATTTCCCTTGTCCTGCCCTGCTATTTCTTTAAGGAGATCGTACGTATGTAGGTTTGTATTTAGGTTTGATGTTTCTAAACTATATTTCTTAGAGATCCCTCTGTATTAATATAGGCGCAATATCACATCTCTATTTGAAATTGTGTGCATTTTTATTAAGAAACGATCAATATAAAAATAAATGCAGTTTATTTTGAAAATGTGTATAACCTATCGTTCCCTTCTAGGTTTATCATTTAAAGGATGGATAAAAGGGATGAGACGTGAGAAGTCGCAACTAATGAATGGCTTTTATTATTTTGTTCGCCGTCCATCTAACTTTGTAGACCTTTGTCCAAAACAAGTCAGGGTTAGGAAGGGTAGGAGATTTCTTCCTTTCCTCTCCAGGTTGCCGTAAACAGCCCACCCACCGCCCAGAGGTAAGAGAAAGGTAAAGCAGGTCTCTCTGGGGGAAGCAGGAGACCCGGGTCTTTGCAGAGTCCGGCTTGCAATTTTGCTAACTTCCCCCAGTCACAGCTGCATCGACTGATGTAGCGGCCAGGAGGAAGGGTGGGGAGGAAGGGTGGGGACGCCTGCCGGATGAAAGCTTCAGCCTTTTTGGAAAAGGCAGTGGAGAAAGGAGGTCACGCTCCCTCTGCCAAATGGGTGACCCCCCCCTTTCTGTGGCTGTTAAGAAGGAACGGGGGGGGGGGGAAACAGATAAGTTGTTCTTGAGGATTTTTCCCCCCCTTTTTTGCCAGCTTCAGTGAGATTAAGGCTTTTCCTTTTAAAAAGACAGGGATGGAACTGGAGGAAGGTTGGGAGCCCAGTAAAAACCGCAAGAGGCAGTGGGAAACACGGTGGGAGGTTGCGATTACCCCCGCTCCTCTAAATATTGCAGTTTTGGTGGGAAATAGCAGGAGGTAGGATTCCTCTCTTAGGAAAGCTCAGGTCTTTCAGATACCTTGCTGGTCCCCACACACCCCATTTAATCCATTTTCTTGCTGCAGAGAGAGATTCTGTTAAGTTCTAGCTGGAACTCCACGTCTCTTATTCTGTTGGTAGCTGCTTTGCTTAGGTTGGGTGTAGCCTAGGGATATTTAAAAACAGTGAGGAAAGTCCACAGGAGCCCCCCTTATGCTCCCATCGCCTGTTTCCTGGGAGAGGGGAAGTTATTTATTGAGACTAAAGCGGTCAAGCCCTCTGGGAAGAATTGAGTCCTACGGTTAAAGAAGGAATAGCAGTCACAAAAGGAAATAAATCCTTTTAATATGATTTTAAGATTATTATTATTGATCTATTGAAGTTATTGAATGGTATTAAGGGTCAAAAAACAGTGCCATCCTGTGATTGAAGCAGGTAGAGGAGCCATTAAAAAACTTTTCAATAGAGGAGAATAAATAAAGGTCAAAAGTGAAAATATGTCTATAATAATGTATAATAATATGAATTATTCTTAGTAAGAAGTAGAACATGTAGGAAGAAAAATGTAAATAAGAAATAATGGGGCTATAAGGACAAATATTCTAAAGAAGAATAAGGGGGAAATGTAAATATTAGATTACCGTTACGTAATTGCTGTAAAAAAAAGGAGTATATATTGTATGTGTATGTGTGTTATATTTTGCTTTGTTCTGTTTTGTTGGTTAAAAATAAAAATTAAAAAAAACCTTTTCAATGGCATTTTAAGGTTATTCTTTATTATTAAAACCTTATTAATATTAATAGGGCATCATAGTCCTCCTTAACTAGATTTAAGGCTTTTGAAGCAGATTTCTTCTTCCGCGCCTGCGTTGCAGCAAACGGGCCTCCCCTGGCCCTATTAATAAGGTGTTAATACTGTTAATAAAGATAGAGAATTTAAAATGCCATTAAAAAGGTTTATTTCTTTTGGTGGCCACAATACCCGTTTTTGACCAGAAGAGGGCACACTTTCCCGTCTCATAGCTTTAGCTTGGAGTCCATGGTAGGCTTTTTTTAATGGCCTCCATCCTATAGCCAAGGGACAGAAAACTCTGTCAAATCAGATACTGCAGCCACAAAAATAAATAAACCTCTTTAATGGCGTTTTAAGATGATGATTATTCTTTATTATTAAAACCTTATTAATATTAATAAGCCATGATAGGCTCATTCCCCTTCCCTGCTACACTTGACTTGCAATCACGGTCTACAGGCCATGTGGCAAAGTACCACAAGTGGTACACATACCACTGGTTGAAAAGCCCTGCTCTATAATTATCAATATCAAGGCTTCTAATAATACAGATGCAAAAGAATAACCTCAAAATCCCGACTGTTCTGTTCCCTGAACCTGTCTTGCCCTCTCCGGCTGTAAAACGGGGCCCAGGGGCCCTTTTACAAATGCAAATGGGGCAACTAAGCCTGAGAAAGAATCCCTGAAATTTATGTTTCCAACATATGAACTGTATCTCTATGTTCCCAATTTGGCCTCTTGTTTTTCTCCCTCTGAAGTGGAAAGGGCACAAAGAGACCCAGCCTCCTAGTCTCTCGTACCGGCATCCAGCCGCCTGCTTAGGGACAGGAAGTCGGCCATGCCGAGAAGGTCGTTCTGAATGGAAGTGGAAGGACGGCCACAGAAACGGACAGGAAGTTGGCCATCCCGGGGAGGTCGGTGTGTAAGACAGTGGAGGACTACTGCGCATGTGTGACTGGAAGTTGGCAGGTAAGGTTGATTTCCTTGTGTGGCTGCTATTCCTGCCTAAGGCTGCGTTCTGATGACTTTGCCCCTAAAATAACAACATAGTCTTTCATATCTTGGGAAAGCCTGACTTTTTTGCCCTCTTTTGGGCAAGGAAAGAGTAGGGCCTCAGGTTTTTAAGAAGAGACTTGACAACCATTTGTCTGAAGTGGTACTATAGGCTTTCCTGCTGGACTACAAGACCTTCCAACTCTATTGTTGTTATTGTTGATCTCCCAAAGCAATTGCTCACTGTATTTTCTTCTACTGTTTAGAAGGAAAAACATAACAGAAAGGAGAAACTATTCTCCTTTTAGCCGTTGTTTTGTGGTTAATTCAGGGTTCGGGGGAAATTTGACCGGCTCCTCTGGTTCAAGCCTGTGCTCCAGCTCAAAATATGGAGTTGTGTTGTTTTGAGAAGGCTGTGCCAATAGCAACTGGGAGGTCTTGTGGCAGGATTTGATTCTCTTCACCCCAAGACCAGCTGGTAAAAGCAGGAAATTAAACCGATCAAGAATTCTGGTGATTTGTTATGATTCCTACAACTCAGTGCTTTTTTCTTAGGCCCTAGGAGTAGGTAACCCAAAACACTCGAAGAGCCACTTGGACCCATTTACAACCGAAAACATCTTTTATGACTCATGGACTTCTACTCTCAGAATTCCTGAGTCAGCATAGCTGGGCTAGCTAGCTCTCTCCTGCCCTTCCTGCTTCCTGCAGAGACGCAGCAAAAGGAGGAGTGCCATCCAGTAAGCTTTTTAGCTCGTCGGAGAACACTGTGAGTCCACTCTCTTTTTTACACACACACACACACACACAGAGAGAGAGAGAGAGAGAGAGAGAGAGAGAGAGAGAGAGAGAGGAGGGGGGAAGCACAAGTGCCTCTCTCTCTGTCTGCAGAGGAGGCTGGGAGCCGCAGGGGAAGGCTCAAAGAGCCATATGCGGCTCCAGAGCCGCAGGTTGCTGACTCCTAGGGGCACTCAGAGTACACCTTTGATAAAGGAATATACATAATAAGCAAACACGTATAAAACTGAGTTTAGTCAAAGCAGCAAAGTCTGCCCTCTTGTGGCCAGTGTGTGCTGTAACGTTTAGCAAAGAAGCCCTGAAGTGGCTTATTTTTATTCTTTCATTTCCTTCCTTTGATGGAAGCTCAAAGCAGCCACAGAAGAGGCTGCTGGGAATACAAAAGATAATTGCAGAAGCTAAAATTTCATTTCTAATAGGGCACCGAGGAGGGCAAAACAGGGAATGCTGCCCTCCTGTAGCCAGGTAAGTCCATGGCATTTTTTCCCCAAGGTACAGCAGAAAAGGTTACTGGACAGATTCAATATAGATTGGGTGTCAAATTCAATTTCACTGAGGGCCGCATCAGCATTGCAGTTGCTGGGGGGGGGCTGGGTGGGTGTGGCCAGAGTGGGTGTGGCCTACTGGGTGGGCGTGCCCAATTCTACACCAGTCGCGTCAAGGGTGCCTGTGGGGGTCTGGGCAGGACTGGGACAGATCTGAGGGTCTCTGGCAGAAGGGGGTGGGACGGGGGCAAGTGCCAAGGCATGGTCCACTGGGGCAAGTACCAAGATGGCCACCACAAAATGGTACATTGGCTCCCAGCCGGCTGGGGCCAAGACAGCGGGCTCCCTCACTGTTTCCAGGATGGCTTCGTGGGCCACATGAAACCACTGTGCGGGCCGCATCCGGCCCCTGGGCATTGTGTTTGACATGTCTGATATAGATGATTAATAGGTGAGATAGATAATGAGAGAGGGAGAGAGAGAAATCTAAAACATTTGTTATATAAAGCACAAAAAACTTCATTGGAAGTTTATTTTGGTAGAACCCCCACATCCTTACAAAAGATGATCCTCGGTGATTTCGGCACAGGGCAGGAGCACAAGGTGCCTAACAGGTCCAAGCTCCTGACCGCAGGATCCCAAATATATTCATATTCATATTAGTAAAGTTGGAAGGGACCTTGGAGGTCATCTAGTCCAACCCCCTGCTCAGGCAGGAAACCCTACACCCTTTCGGAAAAGTGGCTGTCCAGTCTCTTCTTAAAAACTTCCAGTGTTGGAGCATTTACTGCTTCTGGAGGCAAGCTGTTCCACTGATTAATTGTTCTCACTGTCAGGAAGTTTCTCCTTAGTTCTAGTTTGCTTCTCTCCTTGATTAGTTTCAACCCGTTGCTTCTTGTCCTGCCTTCAGGTGCTTTGGAAAATAGCTTAATTCCCTCTTCTTTATGGCAGCCACTGAGATATTGGAATACTGCTATCATGTCCCACCTTGTCCTTCTCTTCGTTAAACTAGACATACCCAATTCTAGCAACCGTTCCTTATATGTTTTAGCCTCCAGTCCCCTAATCATCTTTGTTGCTCTTCTCTGTACGCTTTCTAGAGTCTCAACATCTTTTTTACATCGTGGTGACCAAAACTGGATGCAGTATTCCAAGTGTGGCCTTACCAAGGCATTGAAGATTGGTATTAATACTTCACGTGATCTTGATTCTATCCCTCTGTTAATGCAGCCTAGCACTGTGTTGGCCTTTTTGGCAGCTGCAGCACACTGCTGGCTCATATTTAGGTGATTATCTACTAGGACTCCGAGGTCCCTCTCACAGTTACTACTATTGAGCATGGTGCCACTTATGCTGTACTTGTGCATTTGGTTTTTCTTGCCTAAATGTAGAATCTTGCTTTTTTCACCATTGAATTTCATTTTGTTAGTTAGTGCCCAGTGTTCAAGTCTTTCCAGATCCTTCTGTATCTTAAGCCTGTCTTCTGGAGTGTTGGCTATTCCTGCCAGCTTGGTGTCGTCTGCAAATTTGATGAGTTCCCCATCTATCCCTTCATCCAAATCGTTGATGAAGATGTTGAAGAGTAATGGGCCCAGAACAGAGCCCTGGGGCACCCCACTACACACTTCCCTCCATATAGATGCAGTTCCATTGAGGACCACTCGCTGAGTACGGCCGGTCAGCCAGCTACGGATCCATCTGGTGGTGGTTCTGTCTACCCCACATTTTTCTATCTTGTCAAGTAGTAGGTTGTGATCTACTTTATCATATGCCTTACTGAAGTCCAAGTAAATTATGTCCACAGCATTCCTCTGATCCACTAATTTTGTCACTTGGTCAAAGAATGCAATAAGATTTGTCTGGCATGATCTATTTTTGACAAACCCATGTTGGCTTTTAGTAATGACTTTGTTGCCTCTAGGTGTTCGTTGATTCGTTGTTTGATTATCTTTTCCAGGATCTTCCCAGGTATTGAGGTCAGGCTGATAGGTCTGTAATTTCCTGGATCCATTTTTTTTCCTTTTTTGAGGATGGGAACGACATCAGCTCTTTTCCAGTCCTCTGGTAGTTCCCCTGTGTTCCAGGATCTTTGAAAAATATAGTTCAGTGGCTCCGATATCACATATGCCAGTTCCTTGAGAACTCTGGGATGTAATCCATCTGGTCCTGGCGATTTGAACTCATCTAGGCTGGACAGGTGCTCACTAACCATTTTCTTGCCTATCTTAATTTGTGTTTCTGTTTTGTTTTTTATGGCACTATTTTTGAAAGGTTGGTCTGTTTTTTCCCTTTGTGTAAAGACAGATGCAAAAAATGAGTTAAATAGTTCTGCTTTCTCCCTGTTGCTTGTCACCTTCTTGCCACTTCCACCCACTAATGGACCACTCATTTCCTTCACTTTTTTCTTGTTTTTTAATGTTGAAAGAAGCTTTTTTTGTTATTTTAGACTTTGGTCGCAAGCCTTAGTTCATTTTGAGCCTTGGCTTTCTTCACTTCATCTTTGCAGGCTCGGGCTATTTGCTGATATTCTGACTTAGTTATGTTCCCCTCTTTCCACTTTCTATACTTGTCCTTTTTATCTTTCAATTTGTCAGAGAGTTCTTTATGCAGCCATGCTGGTTTCTTTTGGGAGCTGTTGTTTTCCTCTTTGTTGGTATTGTGCTAGACTGTGCTTTTATTATCTCATTTTTCAAAATTTCCCAAGCTTCTTGAGTTGTTTTCCCCTTGAGGATTCTCATCCATGGAATCCTTCCCAAGCCCTCTCTAAGTTTATTGAAATTAACTCTCTTGAAGTCCAAGACTCTAGTTTGACTGTGTTCTATTGCTTGTGCTTCTATAATGTTGAATTCTAATATAATGTTGAATTCTAATATTGCATGATCACTTCCTCCCAGGGTTCCTATGGCTTCAACACCGTCTATCATTTCATCTCTGTTAGTGAGAATTAGATCCAAAATGGCTAATCCCCTAGTTCCCTTCTCTACTTTTTGGGAGACAAAGTTGTCTGCTAGGTTTGCCAGGAACCTGTTTGATCTTCCACTTGGTGCGGAGTTTGTCTCCCAGTTGATGTCAGGGTAGTTAAAGTCCCCCATTACTATTGTGATGTGCTTCCTACATACCTTAGTTAGCTGACTAGCAAAAAGTTCATCTATTTCCTCTGTTTGGTTGGGTGGTCTGTAGTATACACCTATGGCAATGTCATTTCCCCTCCCTTTTATATTGACCCAAATGCATTCAAGACAGTTTTTATCATTGTTGTGCTCTATTTCTGTGGAGATGTAGTTATTTCTTATATAGAGAGCAACTCCACCTCCTCTTTTATTTGGTCTGTTTCTTTTAAATAATTTAAATCCCTCTAGCTGTGTGTTCCATGTGTGGGTTTCATCCCACCATGTTTCCGTAATGGCAACAATATCGTATCTGCCCTCATTAACCTGAATTTCTAGTTCACCCTGTTTGCTGTTCATACTCTGTGCATTGGTGTATAAACATTTGAGTCCTTTGTGGGTGGCCCTGTGTTTCCTTTCTACATAACCTGTGTGGTGCCTGAGTTCCCCTATTGTCTTACCACCTATTTGGTTAGTGCACTTTATGTGGCACTCGCTATTAGAGGCTTCATTTTGCTTGATAGCAAGGTTGATATTCTTGTCCACACACACATCTATGCTACATGCACTGATAGCCCTATAGTTTTTAAATTGCCGGGGACAGGGTTGTTCCGTGTCAATTAACTCCCTGTCCCCGCTGTTTAGTTTAAATTTCCCTCCAGAAAATCTGTGAATTTATAGCCGAGTAACTCAGTCCCTTTTTTTGATGGATGCAAACCATCTCTTTTGTACATCTTTTGATTGGACCAGCTACTGACATCGTGACTAATATATCCAAAGCCTTCCCCTTTACACCACTCCTTTAGCCACATATTGAATTGTGCTATGCGCTGGCCTTTTCCGTTTTGCTCCTTATACACTGGTAAGACCTCTGAGAAAGTAAGCCTACAGCCTATTCTGCTAAGTTCCTTCCCCAAGCTCTGGAAATCATTCTGCACAGAGAGTACATCTTTTTGGGATAGATCATTAGTGCCAAGATGTACAATAGCCTCCACATCCAAGTCCTTGCTGCCATTCTTGATTATTTTAGAAATACGCTTCTTGTCCCTACTGGCAGTAGCACCTGGAAGACACCTGACCTCTTTCAAAGCCTCTGTGTCCTTCCCTAAATTTACATCCCTTATAATTGAATCACCTACCAGAAGGTAGCTTCTCTTTTTGGGAGCCTTTCTATTCTTGCATGACTGATGTGCAATACCTGATTCACACTTCTCCCTGTCAAAATCTAGTTCTTCATCTCGGACCACAATCCCCTGCTTATTTGAGTTATCTTCACAAATACCTTTACCAGTCTCCTTAATGTCCCTATTAAGGTCAGCAAGGGCACTGTAGCTGTTGTGCAGGGACACAGCGAAAGCTTTGTGTTTATGGTTCACAGCTCTCACCCTGCCAGATCCCACGGTTGT